TGTGGGTTTAGTAACACATTAACCATAAGTGAGAGTGTGTTTTGCCTGCACGGGATGCACAGCTGCTGCCTCCCAATTGACATGAATGGGACTGCCTGCATGTAGATGCACATAACACATGTGTATCCAATGCGGGCAAAACATGGCCCTCACACCAGTGCATGAGATAGGCTCCTTTCACATGGAGCAGAGTCCATTCCAATCAGCAGAGGATTTTTGAGCAGATCCCCTTCAGAATCAGAGCTGAAAGGGATGTACCGGTATGTCAGTTTTGTGACATGTGCCCATTCAGTTTGTGTCTGGCGAACACATGGGGACCCATGACAGCTCTATGGGACTCTGCTGTCTGTTTACATCAGGCTATATCCTCCAATTCACCACATTTAGGTCCATAAAAATGGAAAAGCATAGTTTTTTTTCATTTGCTTTCCAGACTTGCACGGATTCAGAGGCAGCAGGATGTAGACGGACACAAGTCTGTTTACATCCGCCTGTCTATAGGGCTGCATAGAGTTTCTGATCAGGTCCACCTGAAATACTGATCATCCCAGATCGGAATCCCCATGTGCAAGGACCCTAAGTACACTTATGTGAATGAGGTATGAATACTGATACAGTTTCCTAAAAAAGAAATCAAAAAAGTCCTTAAAAAAAAAAACAGTTTTTGGAGATTTACTTTACCTCTTATCTGAACCAATAAAATATATCAACTCTAATAGCAGCACTTTAAAATGGAGGTATTTGGGAATCAGAAATAATTGTGTTAGGAACCAGCCCACAGCCTCAGTTCTACTGAAGAGCAAAAATAAAGTTTTGAGAATTTAAGGCGGAGCTCCACCCAAAAGGGAAGTTCCGCTCTAAGCCTTTGTTCCCCACTCCCCGTGTTAAGGATTGGCACCTTTGGGGAGCAGGGGGAGAATGGGTACACGAAATTCACGGGTACCCGTTCCCACTTCCGCTGCGATTGCCTAGGCGATTGGAAGCGGAAGTTGTCCTCTCTCCCTGTAGTCTTCTGGGACATGTGACAGGTCCCAGAAGACTACGGGGCCATATACAAAGCACAGCACTTCTCACGCATGCGCAGTGGGCACCCATATGTGAAGTTGCAAGCTGTTACAACCAGGTGCTCACACTGAAGATGCCGGCGCCAGGGAGAGAAGACGGCCGGTGAAACCAGCGGTGGTAAGGACACCGCTGGACCGAGGGACAGGTAAGTGGCTGTATTTTAAAAGTCAGCAGCTACAGTTTTTGTAGCTGCTGACTTTTATTTTTTTGTTTTCAGGTTGAACTCCGCTTTAAGAGGGAACTGAAACATGCTACATTTTTGTCAACACAGAATACTGGGTGAATTGTAATGCACTATTTTTCTTGATTTACCTAAGCTACAATGTTCAGTATGACATTAAAAATTAAAAATGTATCGCAAATGCAAAACGTTTCTTGCATTTTACTTGCAGTGTGTGTTATATACATACATACTTAACTTACTATTATATTGCATGAATGCAGTCACACCAAACAAATTCTTGATGTGACACAGCAGTGCTCAAAACACTTCAAACCTAATGCCTGTGTGTGAGGGAGGAGAAAAAGGTAGAAGCAGCTTCAAAATACAAAATAATTTGTATTCTTTAATCATAACTTGTTTGAGAATTTTAAGGCATAAGAGACCACCCATCAAAATTAACAGCTTTTTTGGTATTAGCTGGGCAGGATTTTGTTTTTTAGAGAAAAAGGATTTTGACTACTATTAAGTATCAAGGACTATCATCAAAGAGTTTATCAGCCACACTTCAACAGGAACCAGACACATTTCAATCCACCTATGAGCAGGTTGGTTGTACTGTGGACGATCCATCAATCGACTTCAGTACAACCAGCCTGTTGGGTTTTTTTGGGCGATCAATGTCAGGGCTATAGCTGCTAGCAGTGATCATTGTATGACCACTTGGAAACCTCCCACTGTCAGAATACAATAGTGCAGTGGGAGGGATTCAAATTATTCAAGAAAAATTCCATTATCTATGGCCAGCAGTGTGGGGGCTAACTATCAGTTAGTTTCCTTGACAGGTATTGAGACATGCATTTTGAAACCCAGCCTTTGTCATGTAAACTTCACAATAAAGGAATTTTAAATAAAGTAATGTCTTGTCTAAAAATGTTTGACATACAGGAAACAATTGTTAGTACATTACAAAAACTTTAGATTCCAATAAATCAAATTTTCCTTTGCATATTGTTAACTTTGAATTCTAAGATTCTATGGGGTTGATTAAATAAAGGCAACATTTTCAGTTTGCAATGGGATTTACTCCTAATGAATGTGGTACAAATTAACTTTGCAAAGAATACCATGCAATTATGTGCAAGGAAAACAAAACAAATATATATATATATTTGCACATGATTGGATGATATAAATTAACAAATCTTCACCTCATTCAGTAAGGGAAAGTGAACAGTCTATTTGCCTTTAGTAAATGAATCCCTCTAATGGGGTAGATTTACTACAACTGCTGCACTCAGAGCCTGGTGCAGTTGTGCATAGTAGTCAATCAGCTTCCAACTTCAGCTTGTTCAATTGCATTTTGGCAATAAAACCTGGAAGCTGACTGTTTTCTATGCAGAGGTGCACCAGATTTTGCACCATGCATTTTTAGTAAATAACCCCCATATATTGTATCTTCAAGGGTACTGCGACATCAAACTCAAAAATTCCCCCAATATTATATATGCCTGTTCCTGATCTTAGAACTTGCATTTTTACAATCTAAATTAGGCGTAGATGATTTAAACAGCTGTTTGTCTGTATAAATTAAATAATCTTGCCCAGGTTCAGTTGAGCAAAAGTAGTGATGTAGATGAACAAAGGGTGATGAGAATTTAGCTGTGCTTTAGTAGAAAATACAAATTATGTCCAGACAACTGGCATCCTTATCTGGCCTTCACTACATGTCAGCATACATAAGTCTGGAGATAATAACTAGAAAGGAGGCTGGTGCTGAGAAGCACAGGTGAAAGTGTGTTATGACAACACACTCTGATGGAAGCATTGCGTGTCCAGGATTGAGTTTCATCATGTGTCGTTGGTTTAACCACCGTTGGTATCAGACTTGGGTTTAACATTTCTTGCGCAAAAAATAGCAACAACACCAGGTGCAGCTTTCCATTCTGAGTTAGATTTCAGCCACAAAGCGTCCTAAATAGAGTTGTTCCAGTGTAAAATAAAGTGCACACTATGATGGGGTTTTGACGTTTAGAAGTAGTGTTCATAAGCTGCATTGCATAAGTTCAATGTAAACAAAAGAGTGTCAAGTGGGTATATTTAGAACAGGTCTATATTCAGTGCAAGTATTGTGCAAGCTGCTCATCTGAGTGAATGTCCACATGCACCTTAAATAGACAAGTGCTTCTCCCCGTCTCTGTGCTGCAGAGAAAACACAGAGATATTAGAAGGCATGCTTCATAAGGTCACTATGAGCAAAACATATACAACTACAACAAAGCAAAGAAGCAAGATAGATAGATAGATAGATAGATAGATAGATAGATATAGATAGATAGATAGAGCTTCACCCCTCTAGCCTTTAAATTCTGTACCTATATGCTATGCATTGGTAATCTACATATGATTTAATGAATAGTTAAGGATAGATAGATAGATAGATAGATAGATAGATAGATAGATAGATAGATAGATAGATAGATAGATGATAGATAGATATGGCCACAAATGATTTAACAAATAGTTCAGTCTAAATGGATGATTGATATGGCCACATATGATTTAATGAATAGTTCAGGATAGATAGATAGATAGATAGATAGATAGATAGATAGATATAGATATATGATTTAATGAATAGTTCAGGATAGATAGATAGATAGATAGATAGATAGATAGATAGATAGATAGATATGGTCACATATGATTTAATGAATAGTTCAGGATAGATAGATAGATAGATAGATAGATAGATAGATAGATAGATAGATAGATATGGTCACATATGATTTAATGAATAGTTCAGGATAGATAGATAGATAGATAGATAGATAGATAGATAGATAGATAGATAGATAGATATGGCCACAAATAATTTAAAAATTAGTTCAGCCTAAATGGATGATAGATAGATAGATAGATAGATAGATAGATAGATAGATAGATAGATAGCTGTTTAACCCATTCAATTTTCATTTGTAAAATGTCACATTATAAGCATGAATCCAGAGACCAAATATAATAAGCAGTCTGATTAACTTCATCCATTAATCACTGTAACTACATTATTCTTGTCAAAGTACATTATGGATGAGGATATCTGAGGCCCAAGGCATACAGGAATCCTGGAAAATGAATGAAACACGTAACACTGTATACGTTACAAAGTTCAAGGTCACCAAAACGTGATTTTTTTTTATGTTCACATTTTAAAGAGCCATTTAATTATTAAACATGCAAAATAGGCAATGGTACGCAGAAAGAGTCACTACATAAATTCTTGCATTAGCAGTCAAACTATAATAAAATAATATATGTAAAGATTTCTATCATTGTTTCTTCTCCGATAATACAGTACAATATAGTTTACTGTAATGACTGACTGTTATTGCATTACAACTGTCGCAGCAAGGATGATTGACAGCTTGGCCTGTCAATGACTTGTACTATGCAGCGCGAGTCACATAATGTAAGTATACAGTGCTTACCATCTTTCTTTGATTGCTGAGACAGAATGTACAGATGGGTCTGGGTGCTGAGCTGGCCACAGAGGCTCTATACTGGAGACATGGTTGTCCATCCATGCAGTCCTCTCCTAACAGCAGGATGTTAGCTAGATGTGAAATGTAGCTGGAAGCCAGCCTCAGGGTTTCTATTTTGGACAGTTTGCGGTCTGCAGGCTCTGTGGGGATTAGTGTCCTGAGGGCAGTGAAGGCTGTATTCACACTATGTGTTCTGTCTCTTTCCCGGGCATTGGCAGCTTGTCTCTGCTTGCTTACTCCAGACAGTCTGCCCTTCCTCTTCCTTTTACCCCTGGTGTCCCCATTTGAACAGCTGTAGCCTCCATCGTCCCCTCCACCTAGAGATTTGTCTGAGCTGTCACTTGTGCTCTCAAGATCTTCAGCGTCGGAGAGCAGGCCACCACTGCAGTCAGAAGGTTGCCCAATGCCACCACCCACACACTTCATGGTCCTGCAGTCCACTCCTGTAGCCTGTGACTCTGTCCTCATGAGCAGCACCATCCCCCGGGCTCCCATCACTTTTATGCTCAGCAGGCAAACAGCACCTGTTAGTAGCGAGCAACTCCACTTGATCCACTGACACCTCAGCAAGTCATTTTTTGAATGGTTGCTCCATTTAGACTGAGCATGTGGTTGCTCCGTAAGGCAAGAAAGGTGGGGTTGGTTGAGAGTTATGGAGCCTGGGGCAATGGCACCATCCTAAGCAGTGCACCTGTTCATGTTGTCATGTTGCGGGTAACAGCTAAAGACAGAAGCCCAGCATCAAAAGAGTGCGAGGGGACAGACAGTGTGTTACCCAGCATGACAAGTTTGCTCAATAAATCTAAGTAATAAGGTGTGCCGCATCATACTGACCTGCATTTTGGTTTACTTTTCTCATATTTTAATTATTTAACATGTGATAATGCATATCTGTACCACTGCATAAATTACTGTACTTTGATGTGACTTTACAAATATTTTCACTTATGCTGCAAAGGTATAACAAATTAACCAGTTTTCTGTTTTTATATGGTTCTTGATCAGTCATCTTATTTAAATTTTAATTTAATTTAAAGCCCTATTTTATATATCTCGAGAGGTAACATTGCTTTTGCACAATATTTCTGCAACACTCAGATTTTTGTGATTTCCTGATGCTTGCCTTGGTCATTGTTGGTCTGCTAATATCTAAATATAAAGACAATAACCCCACACCAAATACAGGCATACCTCTGTTTAAGAATTTAATGCATTCTGTAGGACTTTTCGTACTGCGAAAAATTTTGTAAACCAAAATGCAGTTTCCCTTTGGAATGCATTGAAAACCAAATAATCCGTTTCAGAGGTCAAAAAAGAGTAAAAAATAAGTATTTTATCTGTTCAAAACCCTTTATAAAATGCACTTTAAAGGCATAAATACTGTACAGGGACATGATTAAAAGTTAATTCGTAAATGCATTGAAAACCAATTAATCCATTCCGGAGGTCAGAAAAAAGTCAAAAAAAGTTTTATCTGTTCAAAACTTTTTATAAAGTGCACTTTAAAGGAATAAAGGGACATGATTCAAAAAATGTGTAAGTGCATTGAAAACCAATTAATCCGTTCTGGAGGTCAGAAAAAAGTAAAAAAAAGTCTTATCTGTTCAAAACTCTTTATAAAGTGCACTTTTAATGCATAGTACTGTACAGGGACATGATTAAAAAAAAATGCATTGAAAACCAATTAATCCGTTCGTACTGCGAAAACAATTTGCAAACCGAGGCATTATTTTCAATGGATTTTCATTCGTAAACCGAAAATTACATTAACCGTGGAAATCGTAAACTGAGGTACTCCTGTACTGAGACAGTTTTGAATCTCTTTTATTGTATACTGAATACATTTATTTGGATGTGTTACAACACTTGCATATGTAGCGCTACCCTTGTGAGGGTCACTGTAAGATACCTGCCCCCAAAGGTTGCCCTGACCTTGCAAGCCTCCTGACACCTCTGACACCCTGGGTTTAGACATAACGCATAAGAAGCCATGTCACTCTTTATAAAGTGCACTTTAAAGGCATAAAGGGACATGATTTAAAAAAAAATGTGTAAATGCATTGAAAACCAAATAATCCGTTCCAGAGGTCAGAAAAAAGTAAAAAAAAGTCTTATATGTTCAAAACTCTTTATAAAGTGCACTTTAAAAGCACAGTACTGTACAGGGACATGATTAAAAAAAAATTGTAAATGCATTGAAAAACAATCCGTTCATATGGCGAAAAAAATTCATAAACTGAGGCATTATTTTCAATGGATTTTCGTTCGTAAACCGAAAATTACGTTAACCGAGGTGTACTTAAACTTAGGTACGCCTGTACTGACAGTTTTGAATCTCTTTTATTGTATACTGAATACATTTATTTGAATGTGTTACAACACTTGCATATGTAGCGCTACCCTCGTGAGGGCCGCTGAAAGATACCGGTCCCCAAAGGTTGCCCTGACATTGCAAGCCTCCTGACACTTCTGACACCCTAGGTTCAGACATAATGCATAAGAAGCCATGTTTTCAAAGGCACCAAATTGCAGTAAACAACTGAGTATTTACTAATGGTTCTTTAGTTACAAACAGTAAAAGCAAATACTTCTTAAAACATTAACCTGATTACTAATCTCAAAGTGAAACACAAAGGTACCTACAGTAGTGAACACAAGAAGTCAACAGTATTTCAAATATTCTCAAAGAGAGCCTTTGACCTCAGGTATGAAAGGGAGAAGAAAGACCTTAATTAGCATCAGACTGCTCCCTTAGAATCCCTTAGAATGCCACAGGTATGAAAACATCAGCACTCGATGGGAGAACTAGACGTATAATATATGCTATAAACAGATTCTAAATAGAGTTTCCCATTAATATAAGCACCGATGTGAGGCACAGAGTCCTTGGCTTGAAGCGTCCTGAATATCCAGCTGGTTCAATACAGCCCCAAAGAGATTGCTATGCAATGGTGACCAGCAATCCCTGATAATATAGGTATATGAATCCAGGTAAAGGTGACAGATTTACAATCAGACGTATGGTGAAGGTGTCTGTATGCAGTGTCCCTAGTGAAGAGTGTCCACAGTGTGGGCTTCAGTTCGCTCACCAATCCTGATGACACTGGGGCTCAAGGGATTCAGGATGTCCTGGAAGGGCTCCCACAGAATCTGCACCATCTTAGGGTCGTCAGGCCTAGCTCCATGCAACACTGGGTCTCCGCTGTAACTGTGGCGGTAATACTGCTAACCAGCTCTGGACAGTCACTCTGCTGACATGAAGCTGGGATGGGTGATCTGCTTGTAGGTATTTAACTCTCCCACTGAAGATCCTACACCCCATCCAGACCGCATGGCCTACTAAACTCTCACAAGCAGCCAGGTCTTTCCACTCAGCTTCAGTCTGTAGTCCGAAGAGAGAGCGCTTCTTCCGGGGTCTGATTTATACCTATCCTCTCCCAGCATTCCACTTCCTCTTCCAGCTGGCTGGGACTTGTAGTTCACAACAGTATTGGTCCCTCTGAAAATCCAGCCTTCTGAAATACATGTCCTACAATCCTCTGCTCATCCCACAATCCTCAACTGTTTTGTTGGGCCCTCCTTCCCTCCCTTTGTGCCTCTGAACAATATTTCTCTATCACAGCTAAACACTAGAGGGAGAGCTAGCTTGGCATGGTTCTTATATATGAATGTCTGGTAAGTTAGCCAGCACTGGGCTACACATATCCAATATCATTTTGTTTAGTACTTAGACAATGTGATACATCATTTAAGCTGCAGCATTTCAACAGTGGGACTTCACCAGGGAATATTTCTAAAGATACACTAGACATGACCCTAATGCTGGGGTAACAAAAAAAAATCATAAGTAGCTATAGTATACATTATAGCAGGGGGTCCTCAGACCTTTTAAACAAAAGGCCAGTTCACTGCTTGACAGATTGAGGGCTGGACTGTGGGCAGTAGTAATTCACATAATTTTTAGGGAGACAGGTAGACCTATGATACCAATCAATCCAGGATGCAACTAAAGATCACTTGCAAGTAAATATTGGCAGTAATAAATGGCTATGCATTGGTGAGGCTCCAGCATCAGTGGAAGTAAAATAATGCCCCGTTGTCAGTGGGAATATTAAATGCCCCACCAGTGGTCAGTAGCAGTGCTAAATATCCTGGCCACATTGGACACTTTTAAAAGGAAATGTCTCTAGCTCAGTTGTAGAAACTTTTACATAAAGGGAAGAGTGCTTATCCACTTGCCCTTCAGAGGATTTGCTCCCCTTCCCGACCAGGCCATTTTTTTGCATTACGCTGCTGTGTTACCTTAACTGAAAATTGCGCAGTCATGCAATGTTGGACCCAAATGGAATTTACGTCCTTTTTTCCCCATAAATTGAGCTTTCTTTCGGTGGTATTTGATCGCCTGTGCAGTTTTTTGCGCTATAAAAACAAAAGACAATTTTGAGAAAATCCAATATAAACATTGAAAATGTGATCTCTGTAACTTACAGTTATGATAAGATAGTGATAACTTCAATCTCAGTTGGATACCACAGTCAGTGACTCAATCGAGATGAAATCTTGTAGATCTTGTGAAGTTTATTCCATAAACTGAGAGAATCTTACAACAATGAACATCTGATAGGTCAAAAGATCATAATGTGTCCTGCATCATGACATGAGGCTAGAGCTGCAATGCATTTCTGGGAAAAAGGGTGGGCTATCCATACAGCATTAACTAAACCAAAGGAAAGGGAGGAGCAGAGACAAAATATAGAGAACACTTAAAGGCATATGACAGTCATGTGAAACATGACAGTGGGGAACTGTGTCAAACAGTTTTACAAAATCCAAGTAAACCACATCCACTGCCACCCCTCTGTCCAAGGTTTTGCTCACCTCCTCATAAAAAGAAATCAGATTTGTTTGACAACTTCTGTCTTTCATGAATCCATGCTGTTTGTTGCTTAAAATATTTTTTCCAGCAAGAACTCATCTATGTGGTATTTTATTAAACTCTCCAGTATCTTCCCAACTATTGAAGTAAAACTAACAGGTCTGTAATTACTTGGTAAAGATTTTGACCCCTTTTTAAATATTGGATGCAGCATTGGGTGTTCATTGGATGACCTGCATGTCTTGCTTAGCCAGAAATGATACTGCACGGGGGTTGAGGAGGGGGGGGGGGGTGGAAAGACAGTGGGGAAGTATATTCTACTGCTGCCACATTTCAACAGCCTCAACTGAGAGGTCTCGTTTTATTTGCATTAAGGTGTTTTCATGTTTGTTTTTTTATATATGTATGTAAAAAACAGAAAAGGGGCAC